GGAAGACCTACTTTTAACATACTTGTTATACTCATCTTTTGGAAATTTAACTGCACTGAATGTTCCATTTGATTACATTGTTATTCTAGTTACATTTCAAACCATAAACATTACGCAAAGTTGGATAAAGGCTGCACAGTGGATAGAGGCAAAGTGACTTCACACACTATGCATGCAACCATTCTTGTGAATGAAATCATCTCCTGGGTAAGCCCCTTCCAAGGCTAACAAGCCCCAATGACATGTCTTCCTGAATTCCAGGAACCTTCCTGTTTAGCAACTACTTCCTTTTTTCACACAGACAATTGAATGAGTGATGTAGCACAGAGAAAGCCGGTATTCCAGCCTATCTAGGAGTATGTGAATACAAAGAGACTTCAGGCTGATCTGGATGGATATGATAACACTGGAGAAGAGCTTTTCCGGAAATCAGAGTGTTCCCAGCTGTGCAAGTCAAAAAGCTAAGGAGCCTTACTATATATAAATGAGAAAAAGGAACTAAGGTCATTGGTCTTCATATCCACTTTAAAGGAAGCACACAGAATAATAGTGACATTGACTAATATAAAGTAAATCTTAAAATGAAATGAAGTCGTGACCCAGCATTTGGATATGTAATTCAGACACATACATTCATGAACACTTAAAAGTATATATATGTTTTACTTAGCTATCCATACACATACATAAACACACAGTTCTTTTGTACATTTTTTTAAATTCTAGATTTACTCAACACAGGGATTCAGTCTACATGGCATATCAGCACATTGTATATTCTGTCACAATGTTAAAGACATAAGGGTACTGTGTTGATTACCAGTTTGTCTCAAAAAGTTCCTTTGGACATCTTGTAAGTTCACCTCTGCATCTCACTGCCTACATAGTCATGTGAAAAAGTAAGTACACCCCCAAAAAGTTTTTTTTGACAACTAAATGACTTTTTCAAAATGTGTGGTGTGTTTACATACATTCACTTTTAACCCTTTAGTGAATGAGTAGGGGTACTCATTAAAAGGGGGGTGGAGGAATCTGGGTGTTCTCTTAAAGGGGTACCCTGATGGAAAAATGCTCCCCCCCTGCCCACAGACCCCCCCCTGCCCACCAGGCCAGGGCTGTGGGGAAGAGGCACTGGTATGACTTTTGGGGGGAACCCCACACACTTTATTTTGAACTTGGAGGGTTTCCCTAACATTCTTACCAGACCTAAAGGGTCTGATATCAGTTGGGGGGACCTCACACTGTTTTTTTTTCCTTCTGCGGACTTTAAAAAAGAAAAAAAGTCTTTTTTTTCCCCCTTCTTTCTAATGTCACTTTGCTGCAACGAAAATTTGGTAGTAACGAAATTTCGCACATACTACTGCTAACTTAAATTCAAATTTCATCCGAATCCCAAAAGGAATTTACTTTCAGGCTCGAATCCCGAAAAACAAAATGAAAAATCAGAATGAAAATGAAACCCATTTTTTGCCAGGGCACATGTCTAACTGAAATCTCCCCATCAGAGACCCACAACAGCAAAAATAGTTTCATCCCTTTACATTCTATCCTACATACGCAAGTATGGGTTTATACTTTAAAATCAATTGATTCACTTTGCGGGTGCCCAAGAAAATCTGACTGTCAAGACCATTTGCACTGCCCCCCTTTGCAACATATTTTATTTAACCTTCCCAAATATGATTTCTAAACAGCAAATCAAGTTAAAACACTGCTCAACAACCAGAATTATGAAAAACACACTTTTCACTGAACCTCAAATGCTAGAATGTTAGGTGGGGCAGCTTCATCTCTCCACCACATGAACCTCTGATTTCAGGCAGTAAGCCAGACAATGACAAAAGCAAAATATATGGACTTGTTTAAAAGGTTATGCAGTAGGGAGGACACATACATGACAAAACATTTTTACGATATGAAATAACAGATCTTGCGGCCTTGGGCCCCAAAATACCTGCCACACCTTCTTGTCCCAAATGTTGTACATTTGATTCCACATGTTGACCTTTGCCACTTAAGTGTTCTGTTAAGCCTGAATACAGAGTCTGAAAGTTAAGGTGCGAGTCCTGATAACCATACTTGCACCATAAAGAAATACAGCTCTGTTTAGATTTTAACTTTTTGGAACATTAAGATATGCATTAAAACTGAATAAGAACACAAAGAAAATGTCTGAATATCAGTAATTGTCTAAATATTGTTAAATATTAAAAGCCTAATTTGCTTCACGTGTATGTAAACCCCCAGCAATTACATTCTCTAATTGGCTGCCTTTTGGTTTACTAAATATAAAAACTTTAAAAGTTTTTTTTTGTTATTTCTGTTTAATAAGTGAAAATAACACCTGTGGATCCTACTAGAAATCCAGTGCTGTCCTGTGCACTCTGCAGTGTTATCTAAAGCAGTGTCCTGCTTATTTTTTCCCTGTGAACTACAGGTCCCTATGTTATGGAGAGAGGAATGTGTTCTGAAGTTCAAACACATTTTCGGTCTTAATAATTCTCCACCTCCATAGATAAATTACAATTCATGAGCGTCGTCACCCTAGGACAGAAAGCGTGTTGATGGCCGAATCACTAGGTGAAAATAAATGAAAAAAGGTCAAGGGAAAAAAAAAAAAAAAAAAAACTAATGCAGCCACCGCATTACCACTGTTAAGCTGCAATATATTAGATTTTGGTTCTTGGGTTTTTAATTAAATAGGTTTCTAGAGCTTTGACATTCACAATTTGCATACACAGATTACTTTCTAAACTTTGCATTCTGAATATAAACAGATGATTTTTTTTTTCTTCATGCATAAAACATTTGTTTTAACATCAAGGTGATCAAAGCTATTGGAGTGGTGCAGTAGGCAACTCTGGTGGATGTAGTTTCTAACCACTACAGAAGGTCTATGTCCTGTATACAATTACATTTTATTGAGAACCTCCAGATGCTTTCCAAAGCTGAAAAATATACTAGCAAATTAGTTACATTAAGCATATATTAGACCAGGGCTCAAAATTTCAAGTCCTAAGCTACTAGCCAGGCCTGAAAAGTTACTCGCCACCAGTTGCCCCACCTAACCCCTACCCTGGCCTTAACTCTGCCAGGTCAGCGGTGTGACGCAGAGTATAAAGATCAGTAACAATGCACAATACAGAGGCCAGCTGTGTGACGCGCAGTGCAGAGGCCAGCAATGTGACGCGCAGTGCAGAGGTCAGCATTCTGACGCGCAGTACAGAGGTCAGCAATGTTATATAATAGGAAACCAGCTTTACCGGAAAAGTAGTAAACCTGCAAAGCGACCACCGATGGCACCATGAGCAATATAGAAGTAGTAAAAATTGTCACCAGCACACCACAATATTTACAGCAAAAAGTCCTTTAATGATAAATTGCCATTCAGTACAAGTGCTTTCAGGGTCTATAAAGTACCCCTTCATCAGGCTCATTCTGAACCTGATGAAGGGGTACTTCTGAGACCCCGAAAGCGCTTGTACTGAATGGCAATTTGTCATTAGAGGTCAGCAATGTGACGCGCAGTGCAGAGGTCAGCAATGTGACGTGCAGTGGTCAGCAATGTGACGTGCAGTGCAGAGGTCAGCAATGTGACGTGCAGTGCAGAGGTCAGCAATGTGACGTGCAGTGCAGAGGTCAGCAATGTGACGCGCAGTGCAGAGGTCAGCAATGTGACGCGCAGTGCAGAGGTCAGCAATGTGACGCGCAGTGCAGAGGTCAGCAATGTGACGCGCAGTGCAGAGGTCAGCAATGTGACGCGCAGTGCAGAGGTAGGTGGCAATTTCCCCCCAAACCCTCTCCGATACCTTTGCAACCCCCCCCCACCGCCGCCATAAGCATTTGATCTCTCCCCTCTCGATCGCTTTGCTGCTGCAGCTGCCAAGAGAGGAGAGATGAAGTCCTTGCCATGGCGGGGGGCGTTTGCAAAGGTATCAGAGAGGCCTGGGGGGCAATTGCCACCCTGCCCCCGGGCCTAGTCCGCCCCTGGGTCAGACTAATCCAGCACGTTATTAATATGAGTGCCGCACTCAATATGGCCGCAAGCGAGGGGCATACTGAGTGGGGCAACTCAGATTAATAACGTCCAAAAGATGTGGACTGGGAGGGGGGGCTCTTTAAGACTGCTCAGAATCACACCGCTGAACGATCACCTCTTCTCCCGACCGCTCCAGCTTCAGCTCCAGGAAGCGGGCACTCAGAGAGGCAGCTACGATCACACCTGTCAGTGTTCCCTCTCTCTGCTCCCGGCCGCTGCAGCTTCAGAGCGGCCAGAAGGAGAGAGAGGGAGCGATAACGGGTGTAATCAGAGCCGCCTCTGAGTGGACCTGAAGCGGCCGGGACGAAAGAGAGTTAGCGCAGAGAGCTAGCTCCGGCTCTGGATGGAACACTACCGCCGCGGCAATCACTTGCTCGCTTCTGTTCTCTCTTCTCCTTCTCGGGCTCGGCCGCCCTGTAGCTGCAGCAGGCGAGAAAGAGAAGAGAAAACAGAAGCGAGCGAGCGCTTGCCGCGGCGGTAGTGTTCCATCTCTAGTCCTGCCGGCGAGGCACCATTGCTGACATTCCACTCGCCCCACCCGCAATTTTCACTCGCCAATTGCGAGGGGGCGAGTGGAAATTTTGAGGCCTGTATTAGACTAAATCATGATGTATGTTATGCTACAAGTTCACTCAATCATGATGGGTACATCAGACTAAGCACTTTGAAAAGGGAATTGATGCTACTGCTCAAAGTACACCACTGTGTAATACATTGCCTTTATACACAAGGAATAAAAAATAAAGTAGTTAAAAAAAGTTAATTAAAACCATGTACACAGTCTTAGGCAATAAACTCTGTGCAGAGCAACGCACAGTAGCCCATTGCAAACAAATACATTAAAGGCATATTCTAATTGCTTGCTATGAGAAGGCACTATATACAGTAGATATAATACTGAGCCAGCACTGAATATGATCACACACGTATTGCACAATATTGTGAAGAGTGTACTACTTACAGTTCCAACCAAAGGGTATATGAACCCAGCTCCAATACTAGCCTTCACATCACTTATGGGCAGAATGAATCCAGTTGGCACTCCTTTCCTCTCGGGCTGGTGTGACAGAGACAAATGGGTCTTGGCCATGCAAATGGGAAGTTTATTAAATCCCTGTGTAAAGTATTAAAAGCAAAACATATTCTCAATATTTACATGATTATGCTGATCAGTAGTTCATTTCTAAGAACAAGAATGCAATGTAAGAATCACTTAATGTCAGTCAACACAAAATCCCCGGTTTCGAAATGCATCTTCACCATAGAGAGCAACTGAAAAATATCCCATTTATTTTGACTGGCTAAACCATGACAAATTCCCCACCTGCTGAAATGACTCTTTCCAGCCTTCCACACTATACTCCTGGGAAGCTGATAAAAGTAGAGGGAAATGAGGAGAAACAGATCTCAGCATGGGCAATAATTGGCACCCCATCCAGCCTTTTCTACCTCTTGCTTTTGTATATATGATGATACAGTTTATGTTTTGATTTTGCCCATTAACAAAATATCTTGCAAAGTAAAATTGTTTACCTGCTGAGTGTAGACCTCAATCTTTGACTGAGCCTTTGGGGACAGTTCTATGTCTGCAGCGCCATAGATCTTTTGAGCAATGGTTTGGATCTTCTCTACAATGGGCAACTATAAGAACAAAAACAAAAACTGAATAAAGTGTTCTTTTGATTGTCAGACGGGTAAACAAGCAGATACACATTTTCATATAATAAAATAATTGCCTGTCCTTTAGCTGCTATTCAGTCTTACGTGGTCGACTGCTGTGCATTAATGTGCTTGTTCTTTTTTTAATTGCAGCACATCATAATACATGGTACATGTATTGTATGGCACTGCCATGCATTAAGGGGCCATTCAAATGAAGGGAACCACAATGCACTATAGTAGGACAGGTTAATTTATGCTAGTTACTGCAACATACTGTATGAGTTCAAATGGGCTCTTACATACATACTAAACACAAACATGGCAATTTCCTTTCAACTACTGTTTAACAGCTTTCTACCATGAGAGATTCATATTCCATCAGAATGCTTGATTTAAGAAATTCCCTTGAATTACCAAATTACTGGTTTCTCCCCAATGGACACCACAACTGGTGATACATGTACATTATCAAGCATTCATATACACTGAAATCTTTTTTGCATTATGCAAGACCTGGGTTTATTTTCGCCACTTATCTGGGGACTTACTGACCTCATTTATGTATTATACATGTATATTTTGATTATGGAGGAACATGACAATAGTGATTATTTGTGGTTTGAAATGTTTTTATGGGTTAGGATTTGTGAATTCACAAAGATAATTATAGTATATATTATGATAAGTATATATAAATGTTTTTTTGAGGTTAGCAGCTATGCTAGGAGAGTGCCATCTCTAGATCAATAAATGCATGTCTTTGCGCCTGGTTGGCATCCTCCGTGCATTTTATATTCTTTTGTTCCATGTATTATGGAAAAGTGTTCCTTATAAAGACTAGGATTAGAGAATGCGTCCATGCAAATGTCATTTTTGTCCCCTTTCCCTGAATGAACACGTATAGAAACGAAACTCCATTTTCACATTATACTCCTAAATACAAAAGGTCTACCTACTTTACACAAAGCTAAAATGTAAACCATTTACTCTAGACACCATAAGACCCTTAAAGCATCAGGTAAGGCCCATGTGTGGGCTTGTCTGTTTTTAAAATCAGACTAAGTAGGTTTGTAAATACTTCCCTTCCTTTTGCCTACCACATCATATTATTAGTCCCTTAATATGACACACAAGATTAGGAACCAACAATGAGGTGCTGTACCAAGGCAACAAGATATCCAACTCTGACTTGAGCACCTTGGAATGCAGGGTTCCCGGGAAAATGGAAGATATCTGAAGCCACATATAGGCACCACTAGATTTTTCAACCCTTTAAACAGCTTAATATTTTTAAAAGTCAGCACAGGTTTGCTTCAAACCTGTAAGTAATATAAATGTCAGACATAAAACTAATTTTAAAAAAGCAATGCAAAAAAGAATGAACTTTTGTTCTACATGGAAATAAATTCTTAAAAATAAAAAATGTTTATGAAGGTTGCATAAGAAAGCACAGTTATAATCATTTTGTTATTAGAATGAAGTAGTCACAAAGCCTAAAATGGTTACATCTGCCAAAATCAAATTAAAAGATATTGTCTTTAGTAAGAAAACATGCCTTACTTGTACAAGGTCATTCTAAGAATTAATTGTACCAAATTAAAAAGGAACATCTCCAATGAGTCCCACATCTGTGTGGGAAAGCAGCAGAGTTTCATAAGAGGCTCTAGTAAGAAAAACAGAACGATGGTGTCAGGATGAACTGCTCCCAAGATCGAGTTTCTCAATTATGGAATACTTACAACTCTGAACCTGCTGAACTTCTCAGAACCTGCTGAACTTCTCAAACATAACAATGAAGGGGAACACTTGTACACCTTGGAGAGGATTGGAGCTTAAAGGCAAAGTACACCCTTAAGAAAAAATAAATGCACACATATTAATAAATGAAAAAATGTGCATTTATTTTTTTTTTTTTTTTTTGCATTGGAGCCTGCAAAGCATTTCAACCACAATCCATGGATCACAGGTGCAATACTCAGACTTCAGCAGACTGTCCCTTCTACCGAAGTATGGACCTTCAGCTATGGGGATGGAGAATGTAATCAATGGAATACAAGTGTGGTGACATCACCATAGTGGTGTTCCATTGAGATCTACGAGTCCCGCAGCCACGTGTAGTCTCTCCATTCTGTGAATGGATCCATGAATAGATGAAGCGGCTGTGTGGGGGAAGCCATGCACAGCTGCCCCAAATAAACATTTTTTGCAGAAGCCAGAGGACAAAAGAACCCTGTGGTTCAGGTAAATGGGAAGTGATATATGCTCCAAGCTCTCTCCCGTGATGGGACTACAAACTCAAAACAAATTAGTAAACTGAATGCGAGATTGTAGTCCATCAGGGGAGTGAGCATGGAATGGTGGCTACTTTACTGTACACACAGGGACCATGGGGAACAAAAGTAGCCACCCTCCAGAAGGACAGTATCAGCACAAATTCAGAGATTTGAGGATCTACAGTCGGGCGATACACAAATAAACTACGTTTTTGTTAATAGTTAAAAAGGTAGTTGAATGTATTTTTAAGATTTAACTCCTGAGTTTAATGTCACTTTAAAGCTCCAGGTTGGTGTGAATAAAGGTCTCAGTGTATGACATGAAATCATATGCACAGATACCATAAAGAGATTTCACATGCCTGGCCTAATGAGCACCCAGGTAGCCTATGAAACTTTGAGTTACGATTTCAGGCATCATGTTAATGAAGTACTGCCTGTAGCTATAAACAGGTTTTTAGAAGTCTTCAGCAGGCTGCTCATCATTCACTAAATCCCAGCTAAACATTTTATTAAAGCTACTGCCAGCATTATGGTTAAGATTTATAATAAATACTTTTAAGAGTGGTTTAATGGTGCATCAAAGGCATCAAGAAAGCTCCTTGAAACTATAACAATGCTTGATATTGCTTTGTAAAAAGCCAGTTGCACACACTGCACTTCAGTCAAGCAATCTGCAACTCTTATTTAATTGTTGCCAGGTAGGTGAATGTTTTTTTTCCCCCCCAGCATATGCCTTCAATAACTAGCATGCTTTAGGTTTAAAATTAATTTCATGGTTAGAAGGTTGGGAAAAGTTGCACAATTAAGCCAAAGCCACTCAAAAATGGTATTTCAGTTTTGAGTAATTGACTTGCTTTTATGTCCTTTTGGAGCAGATGAAGATCTAGACTTTTGTAAGAAATGCTCACTGTAAGAATCTGAAATTATAGTGAGCATTCAAGTCATATTCACATTCAAGTCAAGCTTGACTAAATTCGAGATACAATAAATGAAAAATGGTTACCAAAATTTGCAAACTAAATGTTTTTGATGGAGGAAAAGCAAAGCACACAAGGCTATTTTGTTCTCCCTTTCACGCCCTTCAAGATGTAAAACATAGGAAGATCTCAGGACACAGCAGGACAGCACGTAGCATTATGGTAAATGCATGAAAGGCATATTGAGCACAAGAGGAAAGCACAATATAAGACAATACTTATTTATTGATCATAAGATATAAGCTTACACAACTTTTTCCCAGTAAGCAACTGTCATCTTAGATATGTATAAATAATGTAAGATTTAGATTTCACGATACAAAAAAAAAAAAAAAAAAGGACACCAAAACATGTGCTGCTTAAAGAATATTTGCTTACCATGAAAGAATGTCTTATCCTAAACACATTTTTCCTTTTTTTAAATGAGGAAAAAAAAAAGTATAAGGAACCAGCTTATTTCCTACCCTTGTGACTTGTAGCCAGAAATAGAAACCTTGATGCAGTCATTCGTTATCTAAGCCTCGCATTGTGCTGACCAGTACAACCTAGACATACTGAACCAGCAAACCATAGAAAATCAAGATCGTACCATTAAAATCTCTAGACACTGAATATGTATAGCACAGAGTAAAAGAAGCAACTATTGGACATTAAAAACGGGCCTAATGTTAAAAAAAATATTCTTTAAAGTTTTTACATAATACAAAACAAACTTCCATCCGGACAGCATATCCAACATAGACAAAACGGGCCTAGTTAACAAAACAGTGCAAGATCTAATGGCTATGTGCAAAGTGCACTACGACTGCTACCCTGTTGCACATTGTATTAACCCTTTAGATGCAAGTAACTGTTTTAGCTAATCTTAACTGGGCAGACCATGTGTGGGTGGTTTTCCTGTGTTGGAGAGTATTGATGTTTACTCTTCATTATGTTTACTGCCTGTGACAATGGGATATATTCGGAAAAAGATTTTCCAGACAGTAGTTTTCAAGAAATGCGATCAATACAAGCAAACATCCACCAATAATGGGCCTCAGGATACAGGACATGGTCATATATTTACTATGTAAAAAAAAAAAAGAAGATTGGCTGAAATTTCCAGTTGTTTCAACTTATAAAAGCATCATTCAGTAAATAATTTAGATTTTTATGTAGAAATGAAGTATCAGTCCAGCTATAAACAGAAAACTGGCCAAGACTTGGATGGCTGTGATAAACGACTATTTAATAAGCTATTCAGCCATTTAGATTTGTGATTTTCTATGTTCTGATTTTACTGCAGACTCGGGCTTTAAATACGGTCTACATCATTTGAGATGTTTTAATTTTTTTTTTAAATAAGATTTTATTTCACTTTTCAATACAAGAGATACAAAAATACAGAAATACAGAGGGCAAACATGACCAAACATCCAATTAGTACCATTGTATGCAGTCACATTCCATCACCTAGTACATGTGTATCGGATAGGTATGTATATGCTCCCCCAATTGAAGAACTCTAGATGTAAACAAAGATCGGTATTGGGGCATCCGCACCCATCAAAAGTCATGCGCCTTGCCGCATTTACTGCGCACCTCTTGTAGAGGGCATATGATTAGATGGTGAGGCCGTGTTGTATCCCAGCTGACCAGACAACAGAGGACAACATATAAAGACAGAGGGGGAAAGGATACACCTAACACAAGACCGGGGTAAAAAGGGACAGACAGGGGTGTACAT